AGAATTTAGGAAAGAGGAAAGTCTGGGTCTAAGAGGTAGACAGTACAGGTCTAATGTTAACTTGAGGAAATTTACATCCTTTTTATATCTTTAGAGCTAATCACTAATCATTGCACTAAGCATAGTTTACTTAGTGCTAAGCGTAAAGTATAATCGCTAATTGTTAAGCATTAAGTGCTAATCATAATTGCTAAGTATAATTGCTAATCATTAATTGCTAAGTGTAATTGTTAATCACTAAGCATAATCACTAATCATTAATTGCTAAGCATAATCGCTAATTGCTAATCATTAATCATTAAGCATTAAGCATAATACATGTCTGTTAAATTCTACTTTAATAATAATAACTAAATAATACTAAATAATAATAATAAGATAATAAAATAATAAATAATAAAATACAATATCAGAATAATAAACTAATAAAATAATAAACTGTCCTATAACAGTAAAAATATATTTTGAGATATATTTTAATAATTTTGTTAAAAAAAATTTAAACTTATTAAAAAACTTAAGAATAATAAAAGTTTAAAATTTTTATATGTATTTGTTTATTAAAATTTTTTTACTTCTAATACAAGTCTTAAGTTACAATAATGAGAATTATAATCCTTTATTTAAACTATAATTTCTATTAAAAAAATTATAAATCTAAAATGAATTTATTAAAAAATTATAAATTATTTTTTTAATTAAAATTTTTTGAAAGTTGTATATTTTTGACTTAGAATTTAAATATAAATTTTATAAATATATAATGTTATTTTCAAATATTATCAAAAAAAATTATTGAAATATATTAATTTTTTTAAAAAATATATTAGAAGTGTTTATATGGTAAAATTCAGGACAAATTTGTTCTAAATTTCAAACGGTTTAAGGGATATAAATAATAATATAATACACACCTATCACTAGGCATAATCAGGATTCTGTATAAGCTACTGTAAAAAATTGGGTTTAATTCATCAGTTCCACCCTCAACATATACCTTTTCTAACTCTGTCTGCCAAGCATTTACAGCTTCTTGTTTGGTCTTCTCAAAATCCTAATACGATATCTCACTTTCAGTATTCTTACAAGCTTGATCAGATGAAATAAATGAAATTCCAACTCTTGATGTGATTACCGGATTTTTAGTAGTATTAAATGTTAGGGTAGCATCATTAATTCTATCAAAATATACTCCGTTAGAGTAACTAAAAAGTTTTGTTCTGCTAAAGTATCCAGAATTGTCAAAGTAAGATGGACCTTTATAAGAACTCGACCAAATCTCAAATTTTGTAGCATTAATGTTAAATTGGGAACAAAAATAAACTACATAGG